CTCGTGTAGCTTTGCGCGAAATTCTAAAAACCTAAAACCTAACCTTTAAACACAAAAGCAAAAAATATAGTAAACGAAGGCATTAAAATTTCAATGAAAACAATTAATTTCGAATTACTACTGGATTACAGCTTATATTATCTTAACTATATAATCCAACCCAATTAAGAAGTAAGGTCGCGCTATGCTTTTGGGGCACAATTGTAAGAAGGAATGAGCCATTTGTTTTCATTCTGGCTTCAACTGCCTGGTTCATATAGATGCTGATGTTTAGAAACCTTATGTCACACGGCACTATGAGATTCACGAGCAAATACAATATGGGACAATTTAATCAGTGGGGGTATATATATATATATAGTATCTGTAACCAGCATGAGACTCGCAATGTCACGTTGTTATTCTGTTATACAATATATATATGTCAAACCTTTAATGGCAGAACATGGAAGTATATATTTAGTATCTGTAACCAGCATGAAACTCTCAATGTCACGTTGTTATTCTGTTATACAATGTATATATGTCAAACCTTTAATGGCAGAACATGGAAGTATATATTTAGTATCTGTAACCAGCATGAAACTCTCAATGTCACGTTGTTATTCTGTTATACAATGTATATATATGTCAAACCTTTAATGGCGGAACACGTAATCGTTTTTAATAACTCATATCATCCTTTTGTAAAAGAAAGCAATTCATGTAAAACAAAAAAAAAAATATTCCCGTTTCAGAGAGACCACGTTATCATACGGCGTATGCTTGCGAAGGAAACAACTTGAAAATTTCGTGTGAGAACGGCCAATTAATTCAGCTACTACGTGCCAATTACGGTCGGTTTAGTATAAGCATTTGTAACGAGCAGGGCATTCTAAACTGGAGCGTGAAATGTGCTTCGGAGAAATCGTACTTCGTGATTCATGAAAGGTAAGGAACTTTAAATTTAGGTTTTAATGAACTTTTTTTTTTCGGTTCCGTAGGTGATTAGTAAATACGCCGTTTTGGGTAAACACTTTAGATTGATAGTGTAAGATTAACAAGATAATTCTAAGCCTTTACCCACAGTAACAGCTTATACGTTAGAGAAACTTTTACCCGAGCTGCTTATTTTTTTACAGGATAATTTAATATTTATAATACCGAAGATTTGATAAGCACGCTTCTCTCTAACTCCAAATTTTTATGGTGTTTATTTCGAATTTCATTTTTACAAGTTATTTATGCTCCTGTTACTTGATATATTTCTCCTGTATCGCTGTATTATCAAACAATATCTAATTAATTATGTAATTTAAATACCCGTTTTATTAATCATATTTTTACACGTTGTTATTTTGGTTCATATACCAAATCCCCCTTTTTTTTTACTTTGAATATTTATTTAAGTACGTTTTACCTTATTTTTTGTTTTTATCCTATTAACGTAGTTGTTTTTTTTTAAGTCAACTGGAACGTAACATCTAACTTTGGATCCTTCTTTTAGATGTAATCTTGTTCCCAGCTGTATAGTCAATGTCACAAGTAATACGTTCGGTGATCCCTGTCCGGAAACTTATAAGTATTTAGAAGTGCAATACCAGTGCATGCTAGGTTGGTTTTTATTATTTACTTTTATTTCTATGAGTTTTTAAATATTTTTGTTATTTTTATATTTTTCAAAACAATGAAAAAAAAAAAAGCGAACAGCCTACTTTGTTTTTGCAAGCAGTTGTATTGATAAAAAGTACGACGCAAATATGATTCTTGTTCTACAGTACGACGCCAGCATAATTGTTGTTCTAAAGTACGACATAACTATAATTCTTGTTCTAAAGTACGACACAAGTATAATTCTTGTTCTAAAGTACGACGCAAGTATAATTCTTGTTCTAAAGTACGACGCAAGTATAATTCTTGTTCTAAAGTACGACGCAAGTATAATTCTTGTTCTAAAGTACGACGCAAATATAATTCTTGTTCTAAAGTACGACGCAAGTATAATTCTTGTTCTAAAGTACGACGCAAATATAATTCTTGTTCTAAAGTACGACGTAATATGATTCTTGTTCTAAAGTACGACGCAAGTATAATTCTTGTTCTAAAGTACGGCGCAAGTATAATTCTTGTTCTAAAGTACGACGCAAATATAATTCTTGTTCTAAAGTACGACGCAAATATAATTCTTGTTCTAAAGTACGACGCAAGTATAATTCTTGTTCTAAAGTACGACGCAAATATAATTCTTGTTCTAAAGTACGACGTAAATATGATTCTTGTTCTAAAGTACGACGCAAGTATAATTCTTGTTCTAAAGTACGACGCAAATATAATTCTTGTTATAAAGTACGACGCAAATATAATTCTTGTTCTAAAGTACGACGCAAGTATAATTCTTGTACTAAAGTACGACGTAAGTATAATTCTTGCTCTCCAACATCTTTAAGAAAAATATTTTGTTTCTTTTTTTAATGTTTTTGGTATTTCTTTGAAGATTGCGATGACGCATTAATATTATATTGTCTGAATATATTGAACAAAATCCTACATAAAATACAACAGAGTATGTCATTATCGGCATGGAATAATTGTTTTATTTCAGATGGACAGAAATGACGCATTCAAAACTGTATAATTTATTACTGCTTAAACTTAATGTAAGTTTGAAGTATTACTACCCATTGTAGGCCTAAATTCTATTCGTATCTCCAAAGCTATGATTCAGAATAGACATATCAATTTAGATTCACTGTAGCCTGACAACATATCAATTTAGATCTACTGTAGCCTGACAACATATCAATTTACAAACTATACATATATACACAATGTTGGTAGTGTAAAGATTTGTTATTGATAAATAAATCTAATTTTACCCATTATCGAACGTGGTAAAGATCAATCGTTTTCTCGTTCAGTTTTAGAAAACCTTTACTTTTACCGTAAACAGGCGAACAACAGGAGGTAAAATGTTTTATGTTTTTCGTTCTTGAAGTACCCTTATTTGTACAATGTTCAGAACATTAGAAAGTCGAAGCTAATAGAACATTTATTTTAACATGAATCAAATCTGTGATTTTGTTTTACAACTGACAAGACGTTTATGTTACTTTAAATTTGAATATATTTTATCAATAGGATAAGTGCTCACTGCTGAGTGGTAAGTCTTATGATGTATATACAACTAATACTTTTTGAAGCTGTGCCCTGAAGAAAGGCTGTACTGTACGAGCGTCCAGTAGGACATTTGACGACCCATGTCCAGGGACGACGAAATACCTGGAAGCCCATTATCTTTGTGTTTCAGGTATCCAACAGAAATGAAAGAAACATTTTTGTTGTGTTTTCCGTTTTGGGTGCTGCATGAGGCACGAATATCTCGAACTGGCATGTTTTTGTTTGATTCGAGTATGATAGTTTTTAACCTGCTTTAAGATCAAATATATTATGTTGGCAAGTAAGCATGGTTATGTTAAATGTAAATAAAGTTTCAGTTTCATTACGAATGTATTTCGAGGGCATAAAAATAACAAAAAAAAATGGTGGTTTTATCACTATTCTGACAAATATGACTTCAATATAAATATACCCGGCTACATCATGATGTTTGACTTCACAGAGAAAATAATGTAAACTATGTTTTCTTGCAGTATCCCACTACATCATGATGTTTGACTTCACAGAGAAAATAATGTAAACTATGTTTTCTTGCAGTATCCCACTACATCATGATGTTTGACTTCACAGAGAAAATAATGTAAACTATGTTTTCTTGCAGTATCCCACTACATCATGATGTTTGACTTCACAGAGAAAATAATGTAAACTATGTCTTCTTGCAGTATCCCATATCTGATTAGAATAATTAGTTTACATACAACATAAAACACTGGAAGTGTGAGAAATCAAAAGGAAAATAAGTTTAGGGGTCTTTGAAAACACCAAAAAAGAACATTTTACATTCTGTAAATTCAATACTAACACTAACAAATGTTCGGGCAGTCATTTCACAAATTCTTCAGGGTTAAGCCTTGTCAAAGATAGTTACGTTTTATATCACTCAAAGCAAGACTCGAGCACTTATTATATTTGTTTCAAGGCATAGCGCTTGACTGAATACTACAAGATACGACTTGAATCATCCATTTGATTCCAAAGGAAACTGATTTTCGTGTTTCTAGAACTGTGCTTTCTAATCATTAATTTTGAATGTTTAAACATACATGTAGCATTCTGATAATGCCATCGCTATGAATAAAATATCTATTTAATACAGACGTTATCACTAAATAAGATATTGGTAGGACTATCTTGCTAGCGAAAGAGAGTCTTTATTTGAACACAGTTCTGTTAGGTGTTCTGCAGTGCTAATTTAGAAAATTGAAATATTTAATGCGGGAATGCCACTTTAGTTTCAAAATAAATGTTAAGAGGTTCGATAGCATTCAACAGTCTTCATTGAAAAAGTAAGATATTCATGGTATATTTTATGTAATATAATTATATTTGACTTTTCATAAAAATATCTCAAACTATTCACCTACACTTGTTAACACGTTATTAGCGTGACATCAGGTATAGTGCGTAGGTATTACTATCCACAGCGCATCAAAGATTCACACATAACAAACTATGCCCGAAAGCTATGAGTTAAGAAAATGAATCATGTTTAGAAGTAAACCGTAGGTGAAAGGTTGTTTTTAATTAAGAAAATGAATCATGTTTAGAAGTAAACCGTAGGTGAAAGGTTGTTTTTAATTAAGAAAATGAATCATGTTTAGAAGTAAACCGTAGGTGAAAGGTTGTTTTTAATTAAGAAAATGAATCATGTTTAGAAGTAAACCGTAGGTGAAAGGTTGTTTTTAATTAAGAAAATGAATCATGTTTAGAAGTAC